GTTGCCCCCGTACCGGACCGGGGACCGGCAACGGGATCGCAACCCTCGGTGCTGCGTCCGCTCCTCGCTCAGCCAGTGAGCAGGAACCGGTCTGTATGTGGGATCCGAACCCTCGGGCGGGAGCGCCACCGCGCTTCCCAAGCGGCGCACTTATCCAGTGCGCCACCGGGCCGGCCCAGATGCATTGAACTTTTTAAAAGTGAATTTGAAAATCACTATGAAAAACTCTCCAACTTAAAGTGTGTTTGCTTATAACTTTTAAAAAAATAAGAAAGTAATGTTTCCTCTCTTGAAACATTTCTTTTAACTTGGGTTTTATGATCACCACACAGGTTTTCTGCCTTTTCTGGCTAAACTTTTCCAGTTTCTGCTGAGCTTTTTTGTATTCTTACCTGTACTTTAAATATTGGCATTCCTCACAGTTATGATTCTCACTCTACATATTTTTCATGGAAAAAAAAGTTTAGTGATTAATAACAGACTTTGAAGTCAGATCAGGGTTTAAATCCCAATTGTGTTACTTACTAGCCATGTAACCGTGGGCAAGTCACTTCATATTTCTGTGCCCATGTTTCCTCTTTTTAAGAAGTGGTCTTTAAAAACCACTTGTTTTTACAGTTTTAAGATTTAAATGAAATTATTTATTTTATTTAAAGCATTTAGCACAGTGTTTTTGTAGCACAGGGCAGTAAATGTAGGAATATAGAAGTATAGTTGTCTATATAGACACACATATGAGGGTACTTCAAAAAGTTCATGGAAAGATTTGTATTATCTTTTGATTCTGCTTTCCACAAACTTTTTGAAGTACCCTCGTACTCATATCTAATCACTATTATGGCTCCAGTCATTGTGCATATGCTGATGGTGCCCACATCTTTTTCCCAGTTAGATCTGCCTTCAGAATACTAGACCTTTGTTATCCTACTGGCCACAGAGAGCCCGACCCATTATATACCTAAAACTGAATTCATTTTTTTTCTACACTCCTATACCCACTCTGTCTCCATCATTTCCTATTGTTGAATAATATGTCTACCCATAGTCTAAGCCAGAAATTTATTTATCACCCTTGACTTTTCTTCCTCATCATTTGCCACCCAGTTAATTACAAAGTATTTTGGATTCTATCTCCTGTGGTTTAAAATGGTCCATTTATTTCCTACAGTTGTAGAAGCTCAAAATCTGGAAGTCATATATATCTCTTCTCTCTCTTTTTTTTTTTTTCCTTTTTGTCTTTTTTCGTGACCGGCAACGGATCACAACCCTCAGTGTCGCGCCCGTACTGGACCGGGACCGGCCACGGGATCGCAACCCTCGGTGTTGCCCCCGCCCCTCGCTCAGCCAGTGAGCGGCCGGTCTGTATGTGGGATCCGAACCCTCGGCGGGAGCGCCACCGCACTTCCCAAGCGGCGCACTATAGCAGTGCGCCACCGGGCCGGCCCTATATCTCTTCTCTTTATACCTCATTTCCACTCCCTTCACCAAGTCCTCCCAATTCCATCAACTAATAGTTCTCGAATTTGTTTATGTCCTAGCCTCTACTTACCTTTCAAGCTTCATCTTATTATCTTACTTCCCCTTCGTTTTCAGCACTCTCTCCACACGTGCTGTGCTTCCTTTTACCACAGGCCTCTTGAACTTGTTTGTAGTCTGTCTTTCCTAGCAGCTTCTACTCATTCTTCAGATCTCAGTCCAAAACATCACTTTTCAGCGAATCCTTCCTTGCCCCAAACTAGGTCACGTTGTCCTCTTTTATTTGCTCATGCCTCTTCGATCCATGCATCACCCATTATACTTGTTGACTACATTATTTGCATATCTAATTCTTTGATTAATGTCTGTCTTCCCAACTACAGTATAAAGACCATGAGGACAGAGGTGGTCTTATTTTTGTTTGCCATTTTATTTCTAATGTCTGACATGTTGTAGGTCACTAAATATTTGTTGAGTGAATAGATGGTCATTGCCACTACCTTAGTGAGGTCACTGATGTTTCTTCTGAATTTCTGCAATATCCTGCTAACTGGGTCATCCTAGCTTTTGTCTTGCTCTTTATTTTTTTTAATTTTAAAATTTTTTTATTTTTTGGCAGCTGGCTGATATGGTCTTGTACTTTTCTAATGCATTCTATACATTGTAGCCCGAGTATTCCTTCTACAGTATAAATATGTTCATGATACTTTTCTGTTTATAATCATTCAATTGTTCTACATTATCCTCAGGATAAAGGATTTCCAGTCTCATCTCTTACCACTTCCCCCTTTTTACTCTATGTTTCAGCAATACCTAAATATTTCTAGTTTCCCAGCCACACTATGATATTTCTTCTATCCTGAACTCCTTAGCCTTCAGCTCCTTCTTTTACCTGACTACTAGTTCCTTATCATCTGTCAGGTCTCAGCATCGGTGCTGCCTTCCTGTCAAATAGGATTAGTATTCCCGTCTTAGGTATTCCTAAAGTACCCAGCACTTACACCTATTATAGCACAGATCATCTCGTATTGAAGAGATCTGTCAACTTGTCTATCCCAGGGCCATTTCTTCATGAATGTTCCAAAACCTGGTATAATCCCAGGTACATAGGATATGCTCAATGAATTCACTCATGTATACATTAAGCTTATACACTAAGGCTTAGATACTGTTGGGGTTAAGTCATTGTTATGAACTTTTTAACTTTAATAGTGGCTGGGAATACAAGGAAATTTATTTAAAATGTTAGGAAAATTATTTGCAGTACAAATGGAAGATCAACCCAATATAAATAGGTTCAACTTCACTAAAAATTAGACATGCAAATTAAAACAACATTGGAAAACATTTTTGCATGTTAGATTCACAAGGATTATAACGACTCATAATATACATGGTGGATAGGGTATGATGAAATAAACACTCACAGAATGTTGAAGAGTAAATAGGGCACAACTTCTTTTTATAGTACAGTTTGGCAATAGCAATTAAAGTGTTAAATGTTGGGCTGGCCGGTTAGCTCAGTAGTTGAGAATGCAGCCTTATAACACCAAGGTCATGGTTTCGGATCCCTGTACCAGCTAGCCACACACACACACAACAAAATATTAAAATAAAATAAAATATTAAATGTTCATAATTTTTGACCCAGAAATTCAACTTCGATATGTATCCAACTGAAAAATACATATACTTAGGCATCCAGAGATATAAGTACAAGGTGGTTTCATTGCAGCATTGTTTTTTTTTTTTTTTTTTTTAAAAAGATGACCGGTAAGGGGATCTTAACCCTTGGCTTGGTGTTGTCAGCACCACACTCTCCCAGTGAGCAAACTGGCCATCCCTATATGGGATCCAAACCCGTGGCCTTGGTGTTATCAGCACCGCACTCTCCTGAGTGATCCACAGGCCGGCCCCCTGCAGCATTGTTTTTAAAGGAGAAAATTTAGATATAACCCAAATGCTCATCTGTAGGATATTGCTAAAATAAATGATACTGCATCTATATGAAGAAATCATATAGTTTTGTTTTTTTTTTTGTCTTTTTTGTGACCGGTAAGGGGAATGTAACCCTTGGCTTGGTGTCGCCCGCACAGCGCTCAGCCAGTGAGCGCACCGGCCATCCCTATATAGGATCCGAACCCGTGGTGGGAGCGCTGCTGCACTCCCAAGCGCTGCACTCTCCCGAGTGTGCCACGGGGCCGGCCCGAAATCGTATAGTTTTTAAAAATTAAGTAGAATTACATCTATTGATGTGGAAAAATGGCTAAGATATACTAAATTTATAAAGTAGGTTACAAAACAGTACATATATAGTATGATGCCATTCTTAGAAATAAATTCATAAAACTATAGTATTTGCTAGTGTATGTATGTGAGAGTGAATGTGTGTGTCAGATTTTTTAAAAATCTGAAAGAATATTCACCAAAATGTCAGCAGTGAATTGTTTCTAAGAGGCTGGTATTAGGAAAGCTTTTACATTTTATGTTAAATATTTTCTGTACTGTTTGATTTCTTTTCAAAACAATAAATGTACATTGTTATAATTATAAGAAAACAAGATTAAAAAACAGTGCAAAAAGAGCACAGACTAGATGGTGTTAGGGTTCCATCAGTTGCAAGGATGAGCTGAACACTTAATTTTCCCCTTTTTTTCAAATAGAATGCTCAGTGTTTACATGGGGACATTGCACAGTCACAAAGAGAAATTACACTGAAAGGCTTCAGAGAAGGTAGTTTTAAAGTTTTGGTGGCAACTAATGTGGCTGCCCGTGGTTTGGACATTCCTGAGGTTGACCTGGTGATTCAAAGTTCTCCTCCACAGGTAGGAAATGGGATTTGATTTGGGGTAAATAAGAGCAATTTTGTAAGTTGCATTTTATTTATAAGGTATATTGCTTGGGATGTGAAAAATATGTCATTTGTTCTTGCTCTTAGCCATTTTTTGTTAGCCAACCAGCCAGACTCTATTGTTTGGATTTGAAGCATGAAACAACAAAATTATGCAAGGGAATTATAAAAGGTTGCCATATAAAGAACCCTGGGAGCTGGCTGGTTAGCTCAGTTGGTTAGAGCTTTGTATTATAATACCAAGGTAAAGGTTTTAGATCCCCATACCAGCTCAAAAAAAAAAAGAACCCTGGGATGAGGTGGATAAGAAGGTTTTAAATCATATCCCCTTTACCCCAAAATTCAAGCACATAAACTATTTGGCATGTTGAAAAGAGCAAGTGTTGAAATAAAATTATTATTATTATTAGCATTATTATTTGAATGGTGGAATAACTGCAGAACTTGCCAGATTTTTAAAAGGTATTACCTCTTGTATTTTTAGGATGTTGAGTCCTATATCCATCGCTCTGGACGCACAGGTAGAGCTGGCCGGACAGGAATTTGCGTGTGTTTTTATCAACCAAGAGAAAGAGGTCAATTAAGATATGTGGAACAAAAAGCAGTAAGTAGAATTAAATTATTTCAGGCTTATTATCTAAATGGTGCCCTTCTAAGAGCTTTTAAAATATTTGTTCTCACAAATAGATCTTCATAACCTTTCTCAGTTTAAGCTGCATTTGGATGGTGAAGCATGTGGAGAATTAAATTCATATTAGCTGCAAGACTTTGTTTTAATACAGCTTTTATTGTGAAGACAGAAGAGCTGACTTTTCTCATTTTTCCCTTTGAATCTCTCCCTTGATACTAAAATCAGAAGTGTATTGTGATTTCAGTCCAGCATTGTAAATAGGTGACTGTGACATTGTCTTGGTGTAATAGTTAAGATTATACTGAGTAATGGTACAATAGCCAGTTTCTGTAAGAAATTATACATTTTCTGTGGTCTGGATTTTTTATGGTATTTCCCATTTTTTCCCATTTTTATAATGTCTGCTTTTATATGCTATTTCATGCTTTGTAAAATGAGATGGGCTAATAAAGAAAAAAAAATGTTGATAGATTTAAACAACATCTTTTTCCTTTTCTTTGAATCAGCTTTGTTTTGCAAGTGAAATTCCATGATTATAACTAAGGAGCAATTCAGAACACTTTCTCTTTCTGGAATTTGTAATTGATGAACTATTAGCAAAAGCAGAACTTTTAATCTTTAAGCAGATCTTGAAAATCTTTAAATCCATGAAATGGAAATTCAGCAAACTATATTAATTTAGGAATTAATTGTAAAGACTTCCATTTTTCTTTAATGTAATTCTTTCATTTTCAGGGAATTACTTTTAAACGTGTAGGTGTTCCTTCTACAATGGATTTAGTTAAATCTAAAAGCATGGATGCCATCAGGTATGCTTTCTGACCTTGCTGAATAAGTTTTTCTTTTGTATTAGGCTATTCATCTTTAAGCTCTCCTAGTTCAAATATCAGAAAATTTTAATCACCAGTTTTACCAGCAGACATTTAGTTATATTAAAATACAAAAATGTTACTCTTTCTTTTCCCATTTATTCTCTTATCTTTCATTTTTTTCGCTGTGTCTTGACCAAGAAAATTTACTATTTTTAAACCATAGGTCTCTGGCTTCTGTTTCTTATGCTGCTGTTGATTTTTTCCGACCATCAGCTCAGAGACTGATAGAAGAGAAAGGGGCAGTGGATGCATTGGCTGCAGCATTAGCCCACATTTCTGGTGCATCGAGCTTTGAACCACGATCTTTGATAACCTCTGATAAGGTAAAAAATCTGTGAGAAAATTGTACGTGGTTTGGGGATGGTTAAAATTGAACCACAGCAGATATTGTATAGTGGATTACTGAGTATTGTGTTTAATTCCTTTAATATATATTGTGCTTTCTGTGCAGAAAAAAAATGTTTTGGTGTATTAGAAATTGGTCTCCTCATTTTTCTCAACCCCTCAATACTTTTTTGACAGCCACTTCTTCCAAATTTTCAAACCTACAGAAAAATAGAAAGAATAGTGTGATAACCATATACCATCCACCTAGATTTGACAGCTCTTAATATCATGCAACATTTGCTTTATATGTTTATACTTTTTTTTGCTAAGCCATTTGAAAGTTGAAACATTATGCTATCATCCCTAAATATTTCAATATGCATCCTCTAAGAATAAGGATAGTCTACCACATAATCACAATACCATAATCTCATCTATGAAAATTGACAGTAGTTCTGTATCATCATCTGATATCTAGTCCATATTCAGATTTTCCTCATTATCCAAAAAATGTCTGTGTCTCTGTTTATGTATCTGGAGAGAAATACAGGAAATACTCACTTTGCACAGTATTGTGTTAACTGAAACTTGCGTACCAGAACCTATTCTTCATTTTATAAGTTGTCATGGAACCATGCAAAGTAAGAAACAGATTCTGTACAGCTAACATATTAGCATGCAAAGTAAGGACTGCCTGTATGTGTGTGTGTGTGTGTTTGTGTGTGCACGCACGCAACACCATCTGACCTGGCTCACTGCCATGTTGGTGTCATATGTCAAAACATATCACATCAGGGCCATTGGTTGCAATAGTTCAAATATTTATTACTTGGGTATAAATGTGGGGAGTCCCTGGGCGAGGGGATCTATCATTAAGAGAGCTCTCTGATGTCTTGGAGAGAGTCTGGTCCTGGGGACATCTATGAGCCTGCTGGCAGGATTTTTGAATGACAGGCTAGATTAATTTTGGGCAGCCTATCACTGTGGTGGGAGGAGGGAACAAAAGGGACAGGGCAGATTAACTTGCATGTGATTTATTTGATGTAGCACAGATGAGTGCAGCTAGGTATTCTAATGGTTTTACCTGGCAGATGTTAATAGTTTAGCCAAATGTCATTTTTCTGGAAGTAATTTACTGCACTCAACTCTATTTCTCCATATATATACATAAACATACATGTGTGTTATGTATCTTTTTAAAAAATAGGACCCAGTTAATGTTCATATGTTACATTTATTTGTTATACCTCTTTAGTCTCTTTTAGTCTGGATCTGTTTTCTACCTTTTTTATTTTTCGTGACATTGACTTTGTGAAGAGTCTTGGTCAGTTGTTTGGTAGAATATCTCACCTTCTGGATTTGCCTCAATTTTTTTTCTTCATGCATTATTTAACTTTTGCCTTTATCCAGTCTTTTCTGGAAACTGGAAGTAATGTCAGAGCTTGATTTTATACTCAGGTTAAACGTTTTTGGCAAGACCACTTATAGGTAATATTGTGTACTTGTCAGATTGTTCCGTTACTAGTAATGCTTAGTTTGATCATTTTTTTAAAGATGGACACTGCCATATATTCCAATTGTAAAGGTATGTTTTACTCTGTAATTAGTAATTGTGGGGTGATACTTTAGCACTTAGCAGATATCCTTAATAACAACAGATTGTCTCAAGACAATATTTAAACCACACTTTTTCTTTTCTTCTGTTTTTGTTTGTTTTTTGGCAGCTGGCTGGTATGGGGATATCCAAACCCTTGACATTGATGTTATCAGCACCATGCTGTACTGATTGAGCTAACTGGCCAGCCCCCTAAACCATACTTCTTAAGAAAATATTAAGATGGACTTTTAGTGCTAAGAGATCATTTAGTCTCAACTCTTACCCAGTAAAAGAATCCTACTTTGGCAGATGGACCTTCTACTCTCTGATTAATATCTTAGAAACAGGGTATTAGTGATTTGAAATTTCTTTTATAGGTTAAACCAAAATCCAAAGTCTTTATCACGAATGTCCTACAGGGTCTTCCTCTTGCTACCTCTTTGATCTCGCCTCTTACACTCTTCCCTTCTTGTTTCAGCCACCTTAACCTATTTGCTCTTCCTCAAACATGAACCTATTCCTGCACAAGGCCTTTGCATTTACTTTCATTGGCATGAATGTTCTTCTCCTCTAGTAGCCATGTGGCTTCTTCCTTCATTCTGGTCTTTGCTCAGATATCACCATATCAGAGAGGTCTTTCCTGATCACTCGGATCACTCACTCTAAAATAGGTTACTCCTCCCTCTACTCTCTATTCCCTAGCCCTGCTTTATTTTTTTCTTCAAGATGCTTATTACTGTCTGATATTCTATATATTTGTTTACTGTTTACTACCACCCCACCGTCCCCACCCCCTCCGGAATGTAACTTCCATGAGAGAAAGGACTATTTACTGTTTTCTGTTTATTTTGTTTTGTCTTTGGTGGCTGCCCAGCTGGTAAGGCTATTTACTGTTGAATCTCTAGCAACCTAGTACAGTCTCTGGCACATGAATAGGGGGCACTCAATAAATATTTGTTAGATGAATGCCTATCTGTATCTTCATGTTGGTCTTTTTGTCCAGTGAGGTTTTACAGAACAAGTAATTTTTGCTTATGTAATAGTCTTTAAAAAGTTTAAAGAAGTTTATGTCCTTTTATAAGTTTTTCCACTCCAAGTTAACTTTGACTCCTGTAACATTTCCTTAATTCTTCACTATCTTCTATCTTTCTCATGCTCTGGTTTGTTTAATTCTCTCTTAAAGCATGATGTTTAGAATCAAATGTAGTCTTTATAGCAATGCATATAAGAATGGTACTTTCAGTGATCTATTTAGTCTTCTATTAAAATATAGTAGTTTCCCCCATCGTCTGCGGTTTTGTATTCCATGTTTGTTACCTGTGATCAACCTCAGTTTGAAAATATCACATTGAAAATTCCAGAAATAAACAATTCATAAATTTTAAATTGTGTGCCATTCTGAGGAGCGTGACGAAATCTCACCACTCAGCTCCATCCTGCCCAGGATGTGAATCATCCCTTTGTCCAGTGTAGCCAGGCTGTATTCACTACCCACCCATTAGTTTCATAGTAGCTATCTTGGTTATCAGATCGACTGTGGCCGTATCACAGTGCTTGTATTCAAGTAACCCTTATTTTACTTAATAATGGCCACAAAGTGCAATAGAAGTGATGCTGGCAATTTGGATATGCCAAAGAGAAGCCAGAAAGTGCTTCCTTTAAGTGAAAAGGTGAAATTCTTACGTTAGTAAGGAAAGAAAAAAGTATGCTGAGGTTTCTAAGATCTACAGTAAGAATGAATTTTCTGTCCATGAAATTGTGAAGGAAAACAGTTCGTGCTAGTTTTGCTGTCACACCTATAACTATGAAAGCTACAGCCACAGCGTGTGATAAGTGCTTAGTTAAATGTTATCATAAGTAGGTATATATAGAAATAAACATAGTATATATAGGGTTTTTGTACTATTCTCCATTTCAGGCATCCACTGGGGAGTCTTGGAATGTATCCCCTAAGGATAAGGGTGGATTACTATAGTTTTGAAGAAGTCTTTTAAAATTTTTTGCAGCCACATTATAGTATTGGCTTATAAGAAATGCACAGTTAAGTCATGAAGGGTAGTAGAATTCTAACTTCATTTTACTGCTGATTGATTTTTTTCCCAAACATAGTGTGACTTTTATTCCTTAAGGGGTTTGTGACCATGACTCTGGAAAGCCTGGAAGAAATACAGGATGTCAGCTGTGCTTGGAAAGAACTTAACAGAAAGCTGAGTAGTAATGCTGTATCCCAAATTACCAGAATGTGCCTCCTAAAAGGAAATATGGTAGGCTTTTCTAGACAATAAAAATCTTTTTTTAATCAACTACTACCAATGTTTATAAAGACTAGCAAATTTTGTTCCTTCTTTTTTTGAAGCCTAATGGGATGAATAATACTGTTTTCTCTGTGTTAGTTTGTTTCCAGTTATCAATTTGGGGTGTTATATAAATAACTTATTCCTTCAGAGCTGTAAGTCATTCTGCTTAGTTTGACTGTCTATTAGTAATATCCAAGTTATCTGTTTCTTCTCTTTAATACATTTAATTTGTGGTTGTGTGTGTTTCCTCTCAAAGACTAGGCAACTTAAGATTGCAACAGTTAAACAGCTCTGTAATTTAGATAACATACAATATGCAATATTGGTTTTTAAGTGACCTGCTCTTGATTGTTAATGAAGATAATGATATGAAGAAGTATTTTAATACATTTATATAGTAAAGTTAAAACGCAGTAATCTTAGGGACTCTGATTTCTCTTAATGGTTTTGAGAAAAGATGTTATATTTATTCATCTAACTTTCCACATAGGTTAATTCTAGCCTAGAATTTATTAACTAGATTGTTTATTGGAAATAAACTTCTTTCTCAAAGTTTAGTATTACCTTCAAAAAAGATTTGAGGCAAGTATTAGAAAAATTATAGAGAGGAGGGAAATGATAACAAGATCCATAGGCCAAACTAATTGCTATACTTGAGTATTAAATTAGCTTTTAACTTATCGGCAACCAATGCCAAAAAAGAAACATTTTGAGTTATATCAGCCTCATTATCTGATAAACACTGCAGTTCTTCAGAAGAGAAACTTTCTGGCACTAAATTTTTATTTTTTTGATTTTTAAAGTCTTTTTAGCGGTTGGCTGATATGGGAATCTGAATCCTTGAACTTGGTGATACCAGCACCATGCTGTCCCAAGTGAGCTAATTAGCCAGCCATCTGGCACTAAATTTTGAAAGGAATTTATTGGGCTGGCCTGGTGGCGCACTGGAGAG